CATTCAGCTCAATTACCTAAGCCTTCTACAGCTGAAAGCTTGTACATTAAAAAAACTAAATTAACTTGGTGATAGTCCAAATAAATTATTGAATACAAATATGAGTACTTACTTTAAAAGTCGAGATAAACCTATTTTGTAAAATTAAACTTTTGATAGTTATAGCTCTACCTTACAATGTTTGAAAATAATAACGAATGAATAAAAATTAAACTAGAGGTTAGTCAGACAATACAGTATTATTGTGTAAACAAGTAATAACATTTAACTTCAGACTAGTTGCAGTAATGTTGCATTTTTACAATGATGATACCAGTTAACATTCTAAAACTTAGCCATGTAAACAGTGTAACAAACGTTTTAGTATTTTATAAAGGGAAGAAGAGAATGCCACAATAATAATATAATATTTTGGATTAATCAATGTTGACCATATGGTCTTAAAGTAACCCATGGAAGTTAAGAGGTTAAAATAACATCAATATATTCTGTAAATGATCAACTCAGTCAGTTTGTAATCTATTGATTTTGAAGCTTATATCAGTCCTTATCTCTAATAATGTGTTGATATAAAAATAAAAACAGCTAGACACAAACATTTCAAACTTTGCAATTAAAATTAAGTATACATATTGTTTAGAAAAAATTAAAGCATTGATAAACAGGATACCTGTTTTAAAAAAAGTTATTAATTGTGCAGTCATACCAGTCATTTTCACTTATTGTAGACATCAATGATATGAAGAACATCTTTCTCATAAGAATTCTACTTTCTAAACAACGGAAAATTGATTATATAACAAGTCTGTTATCAAAGCTGTCCCAAACATTACCAACTTTAATGGAAACAATTCTCTTAAGTCTGGGCACCCAAGGCAAGAGAATATACCAGGTAATGTTGAATAGATGTTCATATTGTTGTGTTAGCTTAGAAACAATGAGTGACAGGCTGAAGCCTGGACTGGATTTCTGTAGGTTACAGCTGGTTGATTTCAGAAAACTTGAAAAAGAGCTTTAATGATTATTAATAGCCCAATCAAATAAAAACACTGACATCTTGTGTTTCTTTTTGATGCTATATGGCAGTGTAAGTATGTATAGTTGTTTTTGATAGCTTTCAAACAAAAAATAGAGGGAAGTTAGATATCATCCTAGAACATTGCCTACTTTTACAACATAATAATTAATACATAATAGTTATTAACTTTTGGGAATAATTGGTGGAGGGGATAGACCCCCTGGACCCATACCTGCTTATATATATCATTAAAGAAGGAAGTCATTAATTTCTGAAAAAAATGGGGGTTTGAATCCCTAGACCCTTCTCCCCAAGATCCACACCTGCTTATATGGCATTAAATAATACTAATTTCTGAAACAAGAGGGAATCTTCAATGGCTGTGCCACTTGAAATTCTTTTAGAAATGATTACATTGAATTAGTCAATGAGACCTTTTATTTCTTTTTATTAGCTATATTTTTGTGTGCTAGCAATACCAAGCATGGTGGACGTGTATACCTGATTCAGTTTTATTACTCATCAGGATCTCTATCAGTCTACCCATAAATTGAAATTCTTTTAGGCAGGATTAGTGTAATTTAATCTATGAGACCTTGGGCATGGTCAAATACATTAATCAAAAGGACTTGACCTCCTGAGTCCAAAACTGTAATTAGATCTGAAATCGGTTAAGAAATGATGGAGCTATGAGCTAAAAGTTTGTACTTGAAAAAAAAAACCTTTGACCCCCTAGATTAGTGTCTGCTTATATACAATATGAAAGAATACAATTATCCAATTATATACTGGGACTTACCATAAAGAAAAAATAAATTTACACCTTTTTTAACACTTAAGTAGCCAGTGTTGGTGACAGATGATGCCAGCTATTTGCCTTCCCTTTAGTCAGCAGTTCAAAATTAGTTACAGTAGCAAAGAGCTTTAGTAAATTTTCAATAACAAATACAGGGGACAATGGGAACTGAACCGAAGATCCTCAAATTATGAAGCAACCCCATCCCCAATTACACAGATTTGCACTTAGTAACAAGCAAACATAATAGCAATATTTTAATTACTTTGATAGTTGGAATAATTGTAAACAGTAAATAATTGGAAACCCTAATTTCAATAAGTTGATTACTTTCATGACATTGACCAATTAGTTCACTAGACATTCACTGATGTAACTGCTGCTCATAGGTAATTGATTATATTGATAACTTGTCCAGCTCTAGTTTACAGTATGGAATAATATTATAAAAATATACTCCAAGATCGATTATGCATAAATAGGCTATGACTGCTATATACCCTTCATCAGGCCTATGGAAAATATATGTTTTTGCAGTAACTGCACAGACCTTTAAAAAAAATCCTACAGATCATAACCTGATGTTTTACATGTTTATCAATTGGCATAATTTTAACCCATTATTCAAGTGAGAAAGTTTCATAATGAAGATGTCCACCAAATATAACTTTAATAGGTATTACCTTCAAATTATATCAGGCAAAAAGTCCTTTTTTGCTTTCCCAACATGCAGAATTTGAAACTTTCATTTTTTACGGCATGCTTTTTTTTTAAGTTTATTGATGTGAACTATAGTAGTACCCTTTATGGAGTGACAGTTTCTCAAAGTATCTATCTCTAACAATGCCATTCAATTGTTTAACATAATTGAAAACATGCACTATCTACATGGTGTAATAGCACTTAGCTTATTACGTTTGGCAAGATGTCTTTCACTTAATGCCATTGCTAAGTAACAAGTTTCCTTGCTAAGAGAAATAAGTTAATAAGCAGGTGTCAATAAACCTCATGTACTTATGCTTTTGCGTGTTATTAACAACTAACATGGTAATATTTTTCCCAATTCTTGCAAATAGCCAAATACTTTTTTTTGCAAGTGCACATAATTATTGATCTAATCTGTAGAAGAGTTCAACTATAATGTTTCAAAATAAAACTTTTAAAATGCACAAGCATGTTGGGAAAATTGGGGGTTATTTTGTCTTGTGAATAAAGAAGAATAAACTGTATATACAATTCAAAAAAGTAGTTTCTTTCACTACAACTTAGAATTTAGAAGTTTCACAATTCCTACATTTTACTGTGAAACCAAAAAATTAACAATCTACAATCTGTATATTATTACAAGGTTCCAATTAGAGAAAGCTATATACTTGGATCAAAACCCTTATCAACTTGGCAATCAATATAGCTAATTAAATATACTTTTCTTACATTTGTAGTTATAATGCACTGTTTCGTAAGTTGGGTAACCTTATTTAAAATTATTAATTCAAATTTTGGTAGTTTGTATTAAAAATATATAAGTGATATACATGATGTATAACGAATGTTAATGAATGATAATTCTACAAAGAAAGAATAAACATCGTTAAAAAAAGATTCAGCATAACGTATATAAATTTCAACTACAATTAGGGCAACTGTGTGTTAAAAACAAAGACTTTGGTTTATAAACTATAAGCCTTATGGGTAGGAAATATGCTATAATGAGGAAAACAAATGTAAATTTGATAACAGATATTGAAGTAAAGAAAGTAATTTAATTTCATGAAAAACATTCTCTATTTTGATAATGGTATACAGTGCGGTTTAATAATAAAAACAAAATATACTACTTACACTAATTTTTCATGAAAATGTTACTTCAAACATAGAATTTTTTCTTTTGGAGCTTACATGCACTGACAAATAAATATATAACACAGAACTGTGGACACAGAATTGGAATTTTGCAGATTTAAAATATTGTTGGTTCACTTCACACCAAAATATTGTTCTGTACCAAATAATGACTAATTTTATACCCATGATAATATTATTCTCCTCTACCTTTATAATAAGTAAAAGCGAAATATAGAAAGTATCCATGTGTTACTTATATACATTCTGTTCAGCACCACATCATTAATCAGTTTCATACCTTTGTGTTCAAATACAATCTTCAACTTGATCCTAAGAATTCAATGTAATTACTTTTATTAACCTGTACCCACTATTAAATGAGTACCGTATTTTTCCGTGTATAAGACGCATATTTTCAACCCAAAATTTGATGTCAAAATCTGCTTGCGTCCTAAACACCGAAAGTATGAATAATATATATGTATATATACAATATACACAAGCCATATGTAAATATATTTAAATAGGCATGCTTGGTTTAGTTCAACTGAATGTGTTATTTTTTTCTTTTAAAAACATAACTATTTATAATACTCCCTAAATAATAAAAAAATAAATAATAGTAATGGAGTTAGTAAAGTTAGTATAGTAAAGTTTTCCCCAAAACGTTGTCTTCAAAATAAGGGTGCGTCTTATACACCGGTGCATCTTATATTCTGAAAAATACGGTAAATCAGAAATGTAATGCCTTCAAAAAATGTGCAAATGGCATCCTCAAGAATATTTCTACTATATTAAGTGAAGGGTAAAGTTGAAAATTACTTACAAAAATAAAATTAATGATCTCATCAATAGAACAATTAGCAAATACCACAAATTCCCTAGCTCTACCTGATATAAAACACATTCTCAGAGAATTAAGAGTTGTACCTCAAAGTCCTTTTCCTCATCCACATAAATAAGAGGATTCCTACCAAAACTGAGTTTGTAACTTTATGATAACAAACATTTTTATAATGTTAAATCCAAAATCCAAATGCTATATGCTACGTATTTGTCCAATTAATCAACAGATATAAAGCTATGTATAATAATAACAATGAATTTTTTTTTCACACAACTGTTAAATGTTCCCGGCATTTACAACTCTTTTTCCTTCCTATTTACCTGCAGCTATTAACACATATTAACACTTCATATTACATTCTCCTGAATATAAGGTATATAAGTTACAAACTACCAAAAAATATTTTCTAATGCAAAAATTACACTACAAAATGTATAAATACTTTTAGGTAAAAGATCATTACACTTAACAAAAATACAAATGTGGAAGTATACCTGTAAATTTGGCTTATTCCTTTTGGTTGCTCCTTCAAAACTCAACAAGGACAACACAGCAGAATCACCAGCACCAATATCAGCTCTTACTACCTCACTTCCTTTAGTTGTAATGATCCCAATCACATATTCACCTCTTACAGGTACATACTAAAATAAATAAATATTATAAATACAAAAGGATCAAAATGCCCATCTCCAGACCTCTTTACACTTACATTCAAAACTTAGTGCAAAGTTACACAAGACTAGAACTGTCATGGTTGCACTCATACCTAGAACCACTACACAGTCATTTTGACTGCTACATTTGAAATTTCAGTATTAAAATGGGTGACAAATTATTGGATACAACTCAAAAGTAGTATTCAAATGCATCAAATCATGGTAAAGCAAAACAAACATATCAAAAAGAACAATTAGGTATTAAACACTTCTTTAATAAAGTGAGTACTATAATAAGATAAAACTTTAACGACTAGTAGGTATTTTGTTTTATATAAACGGTATATGTTTGTAAAAAAAAAAATACAAACAAAATTATGTAATTGCCATTAATTAATGTGAATGCACTTTCATGTAACCAAACTTTAAAGTAACCGAAGTAGCACAATCCATTGAGGTGAAATGCTTTTGAACATTTGTTGTGCATTTATCACACAAGACTTTCACATAGGGCACACTTATCAGAAGTTTTATAGTTATTGCATTTTGGTATCTGGCCTTGTTTTCTTTTACATCTGTCACTAGATGCATCACTGGGTCCAGGATGAACTGCCTGCCACGGTGCAGTTTTCCCATTCCTGTGTTTTTGTCAGAGCTCTGTGGCTAGTTTCCACATAAAATCTTTCTTACTGATATTTTCTCCAGTACTTTTCTTGTACAAAACAAAGGAGCTGATGGCTGCTAGGTCCAGGATATTTTAAAATATGGAAACTGGCTACTGGTAAGTACCAGCTTTCACTGAATACTGATCCACTCTGTACATTGTCTCATTATAGAAAAGCATAGTCTGTTTCTTTTCTACTCACCAGTCCCAATGTCAGCTGACATGTGAAAAGAGCTATGAGCACAAACATTCTTCCTTGGTTTGCACTTGTAAACAGTCAGTGCAGGACAGTCATTGTGCTACAAAATTGTATTGAAGTAGAGGTGTGGTTGCAAGCTTAGTGGTGGAAGCTCTCTCTCTCTCTTTTTTTTTTGTTCACTATTCCAACAAATCTGGTCTATTTTTCTGCAACTATTTTGCCAATGAAGTAAAGATATTGTTTTTAGTTGCATTCTTCCCTTTTTCCAAGCATGGTGCCACCAGCCTGAGTACCACACTGTCAGCCACTCTCTGACCAACTGAGCAAGTTCCACCTTTGCCAAGGTAAGGGAAACCATTCACAAATGTATTTTATGGCAACATCCACTGCCAGCCAAAATTTGATTTCAAATTTGCCCAGTATGTTTGCCATTCAAAGTGTCCAGCAACACTGTACTTTTGTGGGAAACACCTACATATCTACTGTAATGTTCTCACCCAGCTTGTAGCAGGTAGTGCTGTTTTCAGTGAAGCCATTCCAAATTTCTGATGCCAAGACAAATTTATATGTCTTAAGTTGAGCACTTCTTGTTACTCTCAAATGGAAATGCAAAAATCTCAGGACTTCTCAAAAACAATATTCTGTGACCTGTCTCTGTAAAAAAAAAAAAGAATTCCCCATTAAACAGACCAAAAGCTCTCCAAACCTTTGTCCCCATAGGCTCTGTGAACACAGAGTAGTGCAACAAATGTTTGTAATTCCTCTACAGATATTTCCCAGGAATCATCATTCCATACCCTGTGCACCTCTGTTTCAGTATGTTGTTGAATATGGTGCAATATTTGCATACCAATCAATAAATGAAAATCACTGAGAGGACTATCAATGTTGCATTTTGTTTACTGCAGGGGACCTGGAGTTTTTGTCAAAACATTTTTTGTATCCTGTCTTCCCACAGATTCAATATCTGGATTTATAATTTCCCAACAAGTTCCATCCTTCCAATTCTTCTGAATGTCTGTTCTTGCTAATGATGCAGCTGGAGTCACTGTTGTCCCTGGAGAAGTGGTTGGCTACTGCAGGAAATGACACAGGCAAAGTGGCTGCTACTGTAAAGGATTCCCCAATCTGTCTGCTTCTGCCACAACCTCATCTGCATCTAGAGTTATTGTTGTAGTGGTAATGGTATTTCAGTGGCACTTTCTTCACTTTCACTTACAATGCTTCCTTGTTTCACAAATCAAGGACTCATCACTTATGTGCTTGCTCACATTTCCTGCATTAGAATAATTTTCTCACAAAACTGTAAACATCTCAATCATTTGTTGAGCAGATATGCATCTATTTTGAGCCACCTTTGAGTTTCAAGTAAGTGATTGTTTGTGTCTCTGTTACTACATAAGGTAACATTTTCTAACACTGAAAATGTATTTCCCATTGATACTTACCTCTTCTCACATAATAGCTTTTCTCAACATTAGGATGGGGGAAAGCATACATGGTGGGTCAACTCCAGTCCAAAATCAGGCAGTATCGAGTATTTTTCATCTGGTCCACAGTATGAGGAGGGCTCCTGTAAACCACATGAATGAGGGCTTATGGTGGCTGGTCTGCACCTATCTAACACCAAACTGCCCAGGAACTGACATCCATACAGCAGTAGATCAGGGAATGCCAGTTGGATGGGTGAACATGGTGGATCATCTCCAGTCCAAAATCAGGCAGCATCTGGAATTATTTGGCCATAATGTGGTAGGAGGATGGTCCACACCATCTACACCAACATAAAACCACTGCCCTACTCTCTACTGAGTGGAATGTGTCACATTCAGGAGGAATCCTTCATGGCTCACCACCCCATCAGCTAGGAACCTCCACTAGAAGAAAAGGGAGGGATGAAACATTGGGGATCCCAGAAGAGGACAACACCTTCAGAAAGTGTAAATGGGTGACCACAAAAACTCTATATTTAAAAGCAGACCAACCCCAGTTTATTCAACTAGGACTGGACAAATAGGCTGTGCTCCAGACACTGGATTGGGATTTGTTTAGTAAAATATATACTGCAAGGATACCTCTAGCAGCCTAGTGGAGCATCCCATCTCATCATTGAGTACCATATCAGGCCTGAGAGGCACTACACAGTGTAGATTTAGTTAAGTATACACTGATAAGCATCACTTGTCATGTAATGGAATCCTGTGAAGTATACAAAAGACCCTGTAAAGGTAAGAGAAAATGACAAAGACTTACCCTGTCAGAGCCAGTAAGGTGTATCACAAAGAAATGGCCAGAGTATGTGGGGTTGTCCACATGCCAGCCTGCATCATCTCCTCTAATGGATGACAGAAGTGAGCAGCCAGGGATAGAATAAGGTGTCAGATATAACGAGAGGCTATGAGGAAGAATCGACATGAATCTTCATCCAATGAACCATAGGCAAGGCAGATGAGTTGACAAACCCATCCCACAGGGGTAATGGGAGAAAATTTTTTGGTTGAGAAGGGTTTTTAAGGAATAAATAGAAAGGAGTATGAACCTTGAAAGTAGCATTAAGAGCTAATAATGTCGAACTGCACAGATAGGACAAAGAAGGCAATCAGGATCAAAGTGAGAATAAAGGTAAGAAATGGAAATAGGACTGAATAAACTGTCCCTTTGATGAGCTGCAGATGTATTGGGTAGAAAAGCATGATCAGGTTAAAGAAAAAGATATGAATGATGGAAACGAATATGGGAAGAATCAATGGCATATACATCAGTTCATTGATGTCCAAAGGCAAAAAAGAGTAAGAAATAGGTTTTAAGTGAAAGCTAGTACAAGGAACAAGAGACTAAAGGTTCAAAAGGTGGAAGGGTAAGGATGTGGAGAACATCATTCAGGTCTCAATTAGGAAGGACAGCAAAACATGGAGGATGAAGGTGCCAATAAGAATTGATGAGTATAATTAGTACTGGAGAGAAGAAAACTTGAAATTATGAGATAGTGCTGCCCTGTAGCCAGTGATGGTTGATAGTGAAAAACCTTTGTTGAAGAGCTATGTAAAAAATTCAGAAAGATGGAGACAGAAGGAAAGGAAGGGGAAAAAGAATGGCACAATGACCAACTGTGGAAAATGCACCAACATGTTTGAGAGATAAGGAGGGAAGAATGACAAATGGAATGAGAAAGAAGGAAGGCTACATGTGAAGAGAACTTTGAACGTCTAGCAAGGGACCAGACAAAAGCCACACATGAAGTCAGAGTGACAGCATTGCTGGATGGGAGAGGGAGGAATGAGATTGAAGGAGGAGGGATCATGATAGAGGTGAAGCAGAAGATCAGAGAAGGTTCAATAAAAGAAATCATGGTTGCATCAATTAACCCTGTCACCCTGGGTACCCTTTACTGTACATGACACAAGATTTTAGTGTCTTACATTCAAAATTTTATTAAACTACTTTTTGTCTATGTTATTTCAATTAGAATAGCATAGAATCTTAGGTAATAATCCACATTTTAATAGTATCCAAGTTTTAAGTTCTTAATTCTACAAGGAAATATATAAACAAATTCTGAATTTCCACTAATGTGACCCAATTGACACATTTTCTCTTAGCATGTCATCATCCCTATTTTATCCATCACCCCTTGAAAATGTATGAAATTAAACATAAAATACTCTCTATAAAATTGTTATTGCTCAAACAAACCATAATTTTTACAGAGCTATCAAATAGAAAACCAGACCCCTTCTGCCACATCCACCCATCACATCCTCTCTTTCACAACTCATTGATAGTTCTCTGTTACATTTCATTATATATTACCTATAACCAATAGAAAGTCAAGGTATTCATCTATCAAATGACGTGTTGTATAATGTTGTGTTCTGAACAGATAATCACCAGTTTCACTCAGAGTAGCAACATCATTCCAGTGGAAAAGTTAATGACTAGCTTGGATGAATTTGTTACAGCTCTTGTTGCATAGTTAGAAAGCCAGGAAAATTTCGAGAGATAAGTGAATTTGTCTACTTTTTGCATTTTATTAGTCTATATTCTTTGGTGCATTATTTAATTAAATAAAAATTGTTAAGAGCTTTACTATAATTACTATAAAAAAAACAGGCTTAACTCTCC